AAGTGAAATTTTGTGTATGCAATAATTTCGCCAAAATCATTCTGAACCTAACGAAAAAATATATTTACCGTGTTTGTTTAGTATTAAATTATTGTAAACAAATCTAAAATAAATTTAGTTGGGTTAGGCTAAAAATAAATTGCTCTTGTTATAATAAGGTTAGGTAATTGTCTAAGATTCTTTTGGTGCAAAAATTAAAATTTTTTACATTAACATTAATGAAAAAAAATATATCTTTAAACGTATAAGAGAAAAATTTTTAGAAAGGTACTAATGTTCAAATGAGTTCTCTAGCTAATTGACCAGTTTTAAACTATTCGGGTCGGCACGACATAAACATATATATATACATATATATATGCCATGCATGTATAAATATACATATATATATAAAACATAATATATATAAATATATATATATATATATATAAGTATATATACATATGTATATATAATATATATATAGTATATAATATACAAATATATAATATATATATATATATATAAATATATATATATAAGTATATATATACATATATATATAATATATACATTATATCTTATACATATATATAATATATATATAATATATACATATGATATATAAATATATAATACATCTATATATATAATATATATATACACATATATATATAAATATATTATAATATATTATATATATACATATATAAATAATACATATATATAAAATATATATATAACATAATAAATATATAGCATATAAATATATATATATACATAAAATATATATATAAAAATACAAATATATATAATATATATATAAATATATATAAATTAAATATAATACAAATATATATTAAATATATATAAAATAAATATATATATATATTATATAAGTATATATATACATATATAAATATATATACACAAATATATATATACATAAGATATTATATATATAAATATAAAAATATATACAACAATATATATACACATATATATAATATATACATTAAAATATATAAATCCAATACGTATACTAATATATATATAAAAATATCTATAAATATACTAATAAACATATATATATATGATATATATATAAATATAAATATATATACATATATATATATATATACATAAAAATAAATATATATATACATACAAAAATATAAATATATATAAATATAATAAATATATTCATATATATATATATATATATACATATATATAAATAAATCTATATATAAATCAATAAAATAAACATATACATACAATATATTATATATATATATAAACCAAATATATATATACAAAATATATAAATAAATATAAATAAATATAATCAAAATAAATATTAACTAAACATTAAAAATAAAATAAATATATAAAACTATAATACATCAAAAAATAAATAAATAAATAACTATATTTACATAAAAAAAAAATATAACAATTATATATACATATAATATCACAATTAAACATAAATATAAATATATATGTATACAAATATACCAATTTGTATATATGCAAAACAACCACTCGAAAGAATAGAAAAATTCCAAGCGCTTTCGTGACATACTCACTTTCGTGAGTAGTCACGAAAGCGCTGGAAATATTTCTATTCTTTCAGAGTGGTTGTTTTGCATATTCTGAAATCACCTGTTTACTGTGATCTTATTGCATGTGTATATATATATGTATAAAATAAAATATTTCCTATTAGTAAAAAAAAAAAATATATCAAAAGAATGGGGTGGTAGGGGAAGTGGAAATATTCAAACGGCTTCAGGAAGAAATCAATATACTTCCTTGAAGCCTTTTTATCCACTTCTCCGAGGCTATGGGTCCCACAAATTACACCAGAGGTGGACCCCAAATATATACTAAATATATATATATATATAATATATAATATATATATAAATAATATAATATAAATATAAAAATATATATATATATATATATATATATATATATATATAATATTTTATGTAAGTATATATGAGAGAGTGGGTGAGATGTTATCAACAAATTTTGTTGAAAATAAGAAAAAAGTTTTGGAGTGAGATTTAACAAGTTAAGGAAGCCTATGAGAACAAATGGATTTGTCAGTTAAAAATAGGAGAGGAAAGGTATTAAATGGAGAGTTAGAGGTATGGGGAAGATGGAGGGAATATTAGAGGAATTGTTAATGTTGATGAAAAATAGGGAAGCTGTGATTTCGTGTATAGGGCAAGGAGGAATAACATCTTGTACGAGTGAGGAAGAGCCAGTTGTGGAGTGTGGGGGAAGTTCGTGAGGCAGTAGGTAAAATGAAAGGGGGTAAGGCAGCCGGGATTGATGGGATAAAGATAGAAATGTTAAAAGCAGGTGGGGATACAGTTTTGGAGTGGTTGGTGCAATTATTTAATAAATGTATGGAAGAGGGTAAGGTACCTGGGGATTGGCAGAGAGCATGCATAGTTCCTTTGTATAAAGGCAAAGGGGACAAAAGAGAGTGCAAAAATTATAGGGGGATAAGTCTGTTGAGTATACCTGGTAAAGTATATGGTAGAGTTATTATTGAAAGAATTAAGAGTAAGACGGAGAATAGGATAGCAGATGAACAAGGAGGCTTTAGGAAAGGTAGGGAGTGTGTGGACCAGGTGTTTACAGTGAAACATATAAGTGAACAGTATTTAGATAAGGCTAAAGAGGTCTTTGTGGCATTTATGGATTTGGAAAAGGCGTATGATAGGGTGGATAGGGGAGCAATGTGGCAGATGTTGCAGGTGTATGGTGTAGGAGGCAGGTTACTGAAAGCAGTGAAGAGTTTTTACGAGGATAGTGACGCTCAAGTTAGAGTATGTAGGAAAGAGGGAAATTATTTCCCAGTAAAAGTAGGCCTTAGACTAGGATGTGTGATGTCACCGTGGTTGTTTAATATATTTATAGATGGGGTTGTAAGAGAAGTAAATGCGAGGGTCTTGACAAGAGGCGCGGAGTTAAAAGATAAAGAATCACACATAAAGTGGGAGTTGTCACAGTTGCTCTTTGCTGATGACACTGTGCTCTTGGGAGATTCTGATGAGAAGTTGCAGAGATTGGTGGATGAATTTGGTAGAGTGTGCAAAAAAAGAAAAAATTTAAAAATGAATACAGGAAAGGGGTAAGGTTATGAGGATAACAAAAATATTAGGTGATGAAAGATCGGATATCAGATTGGAGGGGAGGGGGTATGGAGGAGGTGAATGTATTCAGATATTTGGGAGTGGACGTGTCAGCGGATGGGTCTATGAAGGATGAGGTGATCATGGAATTGATGAGGGAAAAGGATGAGTGGTGCACTTAGGAGTCTGTGGAGAGAAAGAACTTTGTCTTTGGAGGCAAAGAGGGGAATGTATGAGAGTATAGTTTTACCAACGCTCTTATATGGGTGTGAAGCATTGGTGATGAATGTGGCAGCGAGGAGAAGGCTGGAGGCAGTGGAGATGTCATGTCGAGGGCCATGTGTGGTGTGAAAATAATGCAAAATTCGTAGTTTTGGAAGTTAGGAGGAGGTGCGGGATTACCAAAACTGTTGTCTAGAGGGGTGAGGAAGGGTTTTTCAGGTGGTTCGGGAAAGTAAAAGAGAATGGAGCGAAACGAATGATTCAAAGTGTATCAGTCTGTAGTGGAAGAAAGGGGGAGGGGGGTCGGCCTAGTAAAGGGTTTGGGGGGAGGGGGTAAAGGAGGTTTTGGTGTGGTGGCTTGGGTTTCCCGCAGGCGTGCGGGGC